AAAAAGGTCCCCAAGGATTATGCGACTAAAAATAAAATACAAAATATAAACTTTGATGATTACAATTTAAAGTTTTGTGGCAAAAAAAAACCAAAAATGTGAAATGTAAAATTTGGGAAATAAAAACAGTTTGGAAATGTAAACTAAAAATCCCCCGGAATCCCCACAATACGGAATAAATAAATAAAGTAAACATAGTAGTTTAAGGATAAAATAATATTAGAATTTCCTTTTGCTCTGCTGCTACTTCATTTTTATTAATAATATATTTTACAACATATGAATCAAATAAAAATGCCATAAGACAAAATAACCAAATAGTAGCAAAAAATCGAAAATAGAAAAAGCGGCCTCTCTTTTTGAATACACGTACGATTTGCGTGTAACGTACCAACGCTCCCCTACCAACACACAATTAGATACATACATATTTATAGCCACTACTGTAGTTCTAAACTATACCCAAAGGCAAATGAAAAATGGTAATGTTTGCCGCCGCCGTCGCTTGTCAGCTTAAGAGCACATCACACAGCACTGTACAAAGCACTGCAGTATATACAACACAGCAAACAGGAAATAGCGTTAAGGCAGACTCCAGCCATTATGTTAGCATTGCTAGGAGCATCAAAAATTGTTATCACTGTTGATAGCAACTGAAACAGCGACGGCGACGGAGACAGAGATTTCAGTAACTGCGCTAGCAACATTTAAGCAAATCAAACCGTATGTAATAGCATGTAAAATACTTGAGACATAAAAGTTTGACTTTGAGACTGACATGTCCAGGTTTCCTGCTTGCTTTTGCTTTTCTTCAGTGCGTGTGTGTTTGTGTGTGTGTGTGTGTTTGTGTGCTATGCAGAACGGATATACTTTCGTTTGGTGATAGTGTTTTGATAGCAACGTCATTAACAGCGACAATAAAAATAATAACAGCAACATCAGCAAACACCAAGCAAATGTTAATAGGCGTCAGCAGCCAAGTCAATATTCTTCAGCACAACAGCAACAAAAACAACGAAAACAACAACAACAGAATTCAGTTCTTGCATTAAATGTTGACAGTCGATTTTCTCGATTTTAATTACCAATTTAAAAGTGAAAATGAATTAAAGACTTTATAAAGTGAGAAATTATTTATATTTAAATTTTTTAAATTCTGTTAAGTTTTTTAAATTCCATTAAATTTTTACTATTTTATGTTACTAATAATTTTAAATTATTATTAAATGTTTTCGAGAGATTTTATTAAATTTTAACAAATTTTCAAAATTTTATTATATTTTTGGAATATTATTGAATTTTTAAAATTATTATTGAATGTTCAAGATTTTATTAAATTTTTATATTTCATTAAATTTTCAACATATTATATTTTTGATATATTATTGAATTTTTAAAATTCTGTTAAATTTTATTTTAAATATTTTAGCATATAATTATGCCACATTTTAGTATTTAATATTAGAATTTTGTTTTTGCTTTTATTTGTGATAGAAATTTTCGCGATTTTAATTTTAAATTTTCATGACTATTAAAAATAATTTTTTTTTGTTCAAAATTCAAAACAAAATTTGGATGCGGAACTTATTTGCGGTCGTCATTTGTACTTTAACTGACACGTCCATGCAGTTTTGGTGCATTTTGAGTTTTGCATTTCATGGATGTTCGCGTTGTTTTGCACTGCAACTGCGGTTTTTAGTTGAGGTTTTGTAATTCAATTTGAGCTTAAATAAGAATTTTATTTGTTTTTTCATGTGAAACCAAAAGTATAAACTGTGCGCTTCATAGTTACTTATAACACTTAACATAATTTTTATTTTTTTTTTTTTATTACGAGAAAATATCGGCCAGAAAATATTCGGCGAAGCAACGAAATCAAAATAAACAATAAAATTGGCGCGCGTTTTTTACAATGATTTGTTTTTTACTTTCTGACTGTGTTCATTAATTAAATAATCAAAATCGTGACGTACAACAAGACACATTTAATTTCAAAAGAGTAGTCGCACATAGTATGTACAATAATTACCAAAAATTTTCTTTAATTTTAAATTTTTATTTTGTTTTTTTTTCTTTTATTTTTGTTTATTTACTTAATTCATCTCAAGCTTTATTTATTAAATTACTTGTTGTTTATTTAATGCGTCCGTACACCGACGACATCAATTTCATTCTGAAAATGTTTGGTATGTAACTCGGATTGGATTCTAATATTTGCTAACAGCGTCGACGTTAGCAAGCAGTGCACATTACAGAAATGTAAGCATCAATGCAAACAGCACATCACATATGTTGCAGCAACATTGTTGCTTATGTTCAACGTACTGCATTAAGTTAACTTATCATAATATAGAATATAAAATATAAAACAGTAATAATTGAAAAGATCTTATCAATTGCCGCCACTTACTTTGTCAACCTTAAAATTATAACAAATACAAATACAATTACATATTAATTTATATATTTTATATATGAGTTGTTGCTTATTACACTGTGCTTTCCCATATAAAAGCTTTTATGTTACTAACAACTGAAAGCTTTACAGTGAAATGTTAATAACTCTCTTACGAATGTTAATAAAATTTTGCTCTTAAAGAACAGTGCCATAGGGAATTTTATTCATATTTATAATTTTTTTATTATCCTTTATTTAGTAAATTATTTCATTTAATAAACACAAAATAGAATTTAAACAAAAATATCTAAGCAAATACATACATAATTTTTAATTTTCTCTACTAACTAAGCTTTTATTAAACAAATGTTTTCTTATAAAAACTTAACATATCCGCTGCACTGTTACTGTCATATTCAAGGTCGTTTTGGTGTGTCCCACTTAAAATATGTGTTGGTGGTTATTTGGGAAATGTTATTTTTATGTTAAATTAATATTTTCATGTTGCTAGGATGCTGCCTCCTGTTAATTCCCTGCTATCAACACGATTGTGTGTATTAATTTTTTTTTAAATTTATTATAATAAAATATAAATATTTTTTAAATAATTGTTAACATCATTTATAATATGCACAGGTGTTTCCTTACAAAGCACTACGAAATAAAATATTTTGACAATATAAATTAAAATGTATATATTGTGTTTCCTTGAAAAAGCTCCAAAAAATAAAATATTTTGGTAGATAATTGATAAAATCACATATATTATATACAGACAGTTTCCTAACAAAGTACCATAAAAGCAAGAGGTGATACCTTGTCAAAGAAACTAGAAAAACTGTGGGGGAAGAGGGAGGTTCATTTTTAATATCTATCGAGAAACAAGATGTTAAAGAAAACAGACCAAAATCTTTAGTTCAAATCTGATTTATTTAAAAAATTATTTTTAAAAATACTTTTATATATATTAATCAATTTATAGTTCGTTGACTATTTTTTAGTTTGATACCCAATACACTCTTGTTTTTAATGGGTGATGATGCCACAAAAGTAATTTTTTTTTAAAAAATGTTCATTTAATTTTTCGGAAAGCCTTTAAAGTTTTCATACATCCTTACCTTATTATCTTGAACAATTTTTTTTATTATGCACCATATTCCTGTAGTCGTTTTTAAAGCAAGTTACCTACTATGAATCATACAAGAGCTTACTCTTAAAATAAAAACTATACAACTCCAATGTTATAATATTAAAACATATATTATATTACACATATATTATATTACACATATATTATATTATAATATTTTATATTATAATATTTTATAATTATAATGTAACTAGTAACTAATATCTTTAAACGTCATACTGTTTGATGAACCAGATCTTCCTTAATCTATGCGTTCCATTTGATCAAATCACATATAATGACCCAATAATCCATTGAAGCAATTTATTGCAGCCCGTGATAGACAAATTCTTTCCAATCTTAACAAACACTCAACATAATAAAATGTAAGCTTCAAACACGCATTTTTGAAGCTTACATTCAAACACTCAGGGTTCTATTCTTTATGTATTTTTTGAACGGATCAATCTTGAGGTCCCTGAGGATGTCATTTGTCTCAATGTACCATGGTCTTCTCAGAGCCTGGTTTTGTGCAATTCCTAGCTGACGAATAGTAATGTTTAAAGCTCAGTTAAACGCTACACATCTATATAGAAGTGACGAACAAATTATTTGGTTATATATCAGTTTCCTTTTCTTAGTATTGAGATTTGCATTGCTGAATAGCGGTTGGAGGTGCTTCTATGTCATTCATTATGTCGGTTGTAGTTCAATATTACTTATCTTTCTTCTCTACTTCATACTCGCATTAACTAAAACTGGCATATTTACCAATATAGATATATTAATGAATATATCATCTGCTTAACCCAATTGGAAGAGTATGCAGAAAACATACTAATAAATAAGCATAAATGTTAATTTCAACAAATTGTTATTTACAATAAAATTTGATTAATTTATTGCCTGAGCATTTTTAATAAAATTAAAATATAACAAAAATAAAACAAATTTTATTATTAAGGCTTTACTGCCTTACTGAATGGATACGAGTATGTTACAGAAAAGCAGATCCTTTAATAATATACCGAATTTATTGATAACACAAATAATGCGAAATTGAAGGTTTACAATATTGGCAAAATTAAGAATATCCACGGCAGATACGAGTATAAAAACTTATGCTGATTACATGAAATCATCTTTTCTTCTCAAACCAGGAAACCCTTTTGTGTTTGAGGATTCACACCCTCAAATGTGCGAAAAGGTCAAATGGCAAAAATATGGAAATAGGCCAAACCAAACATTCGCTACAATCCTGTAGGTATGTGTACATGGATTGCTTAAGACAAAGTAGCCCCTGAGGCGCATTTAAAAACAATTTCTTTTTATTATTATTTTATTTTTATTTTAAACAATTTTCATTCTCTCTTAAGCCACCAACTCATTGAAGCTTAAAGTTTACAATTTTTATTAAAAAAATATCATATATATTTAATAAGAAAAAGATTTGATATAAACAAATAAATAAAAAGAATTCTTGTTTTATTATTTACTTGCTTTCGCTTTTGCTTTAGGTTTCTCTGGCTCAGCGACCTGTGCGACCTTTGGAACTTTTGAGACTTTTGGGACCTTTGCGACCTTTGCAGTGGGAACAGATTTCATAGGTTTCTCAGTTTTCTCCGTCTTCTTCTTTGCATTGCCACCACTAGGTTGACCACCGTTTTCTATCGGAGCCTTAGTATTTGTAATTTTTAGTTTGGGTTTCTTGGGCTTAGTTACTGTCTTCTTTACTGTGGCCTTTCCTGCACCAGTGGGTTTTAATACCTTTACATCCGTAGCAGCTTTCTTAGTTGTGGTTTTCTTAATTTATATGCAATATAAAGAAATTGATATGATATTAACTATTTTAAGAAATACTTAGTAGAAATAACTATATATAACAGTATACGTTATATGTGAACATAATATATTTTATAAGATTTAGTATAATATATGCGTAAAATAAATCATATAGATTATATAGAAAATGTAGAAAATATAAATAACATAGAATATATAAATAATATAGATTATATAAACAATATAGATAATACAAACAATACAGAAAATATAAATAAAGTTCCAAGAACGGCTAAACTATATGAGTTGATGTATATAACCATACCATAATTAAAAAAGTGAATAAATCATATAGAGAAATTTTTACCAGCTATATACCTATATAAAAAACAATTGATAGTGAAACATAAAGTCATCTATTCAGCCTACCTAGAAAAAAGTGCTCTAGAGTCATGACTTGTGATACAATATTACGCAATCTATAGAGCCCTCAGGAGAAAAAATCTGTAAGATATGACTTGCGAGGAAAAAATCAAAGAATCTACTCAGCATTTGAATCTCTGAGGTCGTGACTGACACTCTCTTAGGTTGAGAAATGTTTTATATAAATATTGTTAAAGTTGTGGAGATGATAAAGAAAGGTCAACAGTGCAACATTTCTTATGCAGCTTCGCAGATCCAGCTAGAAGCTGAGTGAAAGCTTTAACTATCAATTCCATTGGAGAGATAAAATTAAAAAGTTCATGTAGTTTTGTAAGGCTCCAAATATTCTTTTGTTAATCTCAAAAAGTAAGCATACCAAAAAGAAAACTGATTAAGCAGATATGCGTATATGCTCATATGCTCTTCAAGTAAAAGAGACTTCAGTTATAAACTTCTATAATTTTAGATCCATCGTTATGTACTTTGCTTTTTAGTTTCTATTTTTCATAGAGGGTATATGGCCTCATCTTCTTGGTCATATTCTTGTGCACTATATAATTTTAATTATGCATTACGCTATAACTCATTATTTGACAAAAACCAACACCAATGAGAGATGAACGAATCCTTTAATCTATATCAAAGTTACACTAGTCAACTTTTTAAACATCTAAATAGTACTCAACTTGTGCTTTATTATTTAGAAAGACATGCTTCCCCAATGCATGAAAAAGAATGGATGAAATCAAAGTCAAGTCAAATCACAAAACCCCAATCTTATGCTCATCATATCTATACATAATTAACTATTATTATAAGTTAATTATTTTGAAATAGCCTTATTTAAGATTTCACTGAAATTTACGAAAATCTTGATATATCTTATTGAGCTTAAAATCATTTTGCAGTGATCACAAAAAAATGATATTAGTAATGGAACTTCACTCAAAAGTAGACGAAGCTCCAAAAACATAGGAGAGATTTACCAGACGGAAATTAGAATACAACACTTTTCCAAAGCATAAAATTTAGCAATAATAATGGACATCAATCACAATCTTCAACTATTCTATTTGACTTTCTTCCTTTATACTAAACGGTGTCGGTTCGAGGAATGAACAGAATGAATAAGGGGTTTTTTTATGCTCTAGGTGACATTTATAGAAGATCGCAAAGTGGTTTCCACGGCGACTTTATCTTACATACACCATTGGCAATTTTTAAAATTTTTCTCAAATTTAATAAATATTTTTGTATTTATAGTGCTTTAAGTGCTTTAAATTTCTTCTTTTAATAAAAGAATTTCATAAGTTTTCAATTATATAGAAGCCTCCTTTTTTTAGCCTTTATATATAACATACGATTATGAATTGGATTTCATACTTTTGCATCCTTAATCGACTACCTATACATAGGAGTACAGAAATCCTCCCTATAACCCTTATAATGCGTTTTTATATTACTCGATTTCAATCCCCCGTATAACACGGGCATTCTCCCATATAACGCGTACCTTTGCACGTGTGTATACGGAGTATACTGGAATACCCCTATAACGCATTTTCCCATAACGCGGAACCAATCTACCGCTTCATAGACGGGATTACTGTATATGTTTTTCAGCAGTGCTAAAAAGTTATGGTTTTCGATGAGATTACACAAATAAGTAACAACCACGCCATCTAGTAGCAAATAAATATAAATGACCATACATAATGTTTAGTTGTTATAAAGACAAAATAATTGTATAAAATTAAATTAATATTGAAAGATAAAAAATTTAAAATAGTACGGGATCCTAAACCAAATTAAATCAATTTCGTGAAGATATCTTCCATTCTATTACAGTCTTAACATTTCAATGGAATTACCTTAGAAATTTTTGCATTCTTTTCTGCTGTTGTTGTCTTCTCTGCAGTAGTTTTTTTATTATTTTTTGCTGTCTCGTTATCTTTCTTCTTTGCATTGGCATTAGCTTTTCCTTTAGCTTTAGTTTCGGCAATTTTTTCTTGCTTTTTTTGCATCTTCAACTTTCTAGTTTTCTCCATAGCAATCTCCTTTTTAGCTTCAGCTGTTAACTTAAATGAACGCTTGATTTGTGATAATTTTCCAATAGACAACGAGTCTTTTATATATCTTTTAATCTGCAAATTAACTTTTTTCTCTTCAATATTTGCTATAAATAATAATATACAATTGAACCTTATAAGTCGGAATTTTATAACACTCGCTTACCGTAATTGGATATAATATAATTTCGAATGGCAACTATAGAGGAACCAGTACGTTCGTTTAGCTCCATTATAGCCGTATCTACCATTACTTGTGTCGGTACACGCTTAGGTTTATTACCATTTACGGCTATAATAGTATTTGTTTTTGTTTCAGGTTTTTTCAATGCAATTCTCTTGACACCACCGCCCAGCGTTAGATTCATATTTATTGCTCTTGAAGTTGTCAGCATATCATCATGCTCAACACTAATATCACTCATGCTATTACTCACGTTATCTTCATTCCCCTTATCGTCCTCCTCATCCTCTTCATCCTCGTCATCCTCATCCCCCTTATCACCTTCACTGTGCTCGATATCTTCAGCACCTTCAGTAACACCCACACCGTCTGAGTCCTGTTCTTTATCAGATTCGTCATTTGACTCTTCTTCTTCACCAAGTGAGAGCTCCTGTTCTTCTTTAGCCAACTTCATATTAGATTTCTCGCTCATTATTGTAAAATTGAATTAATTTCTATTATTCGAAAAATTATAAAAATTAATTTAATTAAAAATATGAAATTAATTATAAAATTCTATTTTTTTAAGTATACAAAAAAGAAACAATATACGACTTTCAAAAACATTTACACCAAAACTGAAACTAAAACGGTTTCTGTAACAGTAATGTCACCTATACAGGGTGTATGGTGATTAGCACGTCCAGTTGAATTCTTGATTTAAGAAAACAAAAACTTGTGTTGGAAGTCGAAAGTAAAAAACTTTTAACAATTATGATTTCTAGTATTTAAACTATGCTAACTATGTTAACTAATTTAGACAACCGAAAATTATTCAACAAAATGACAATCAAAGCAAAAACTTCATTTATTATAATAATGTCTGATTTACACGATGAGTGTTGATCTGCTCACAATATATATTCAAGTTATATCTTTGCAAATAATAACCTGCTGCCGTGTTTTAAACTATCTGAAACGAAATCTAAAATACTGGACATATTTTTTTTAAATATTAATATTTTAAATAAAAAATAAAATAAAAATAACATTTCTCAATGAATACTTGTTACAATTCTATATAACTAATAAATAATGTACCAATTGCTATAATATTTCACTACATTATTTTGATACTTCTACACGATTAGATCAGATTTTTAAGATGGGTTGGGAACTTGTCACCGCATCACAGCATCCTTTGAGGATTATTGTGACATACCCACTTCAGCTCCATAGACGAGTAGCAGTGGATAAGTACTGAAGTCTAAGTCTGGCAAGACTATCACAGTGATACCAAATGTGTTCTGCTGTTTCCTCTTCTTCGCAACAAAGTCTGCAGCTATCGTCTCTAGTAATTCCTAGATTCAATAGATGCTTTTTAACTCCGCAGTGCTCAGTGAGAAACCCTGTGACAAGTCGGATAACACTTCTGTTCAGCATAAGTAGCTACCTAGTTCTGGCTTTCGAAACGGCATGGATTCTTTGGCTTGTCTGCAGGCAATTGTATTATCCCAATCAGTCTGAGCTGCTCTTTCCAACCACTCATTAGTTTTAAGTTTAAAAAAGCTCCACGAAGGACCGCTGAATGGTTGTGGCCCAATATAATATGAGGTCGCCTCTTTTCATGCTAGTTCATCTTCTTTTTCAATTCCCTCAAATCCGCTGTACCCTAGAATCCATATTAAGTGGACCCTGTTTCTTTCAGCAAGATCTTTGAGAAGTATAAGACATTTCCACACAAGTTTTGAGGTTACTCGAGGTAAGCGTAGTGCTAGTAGTGCCGATTTACTGTCAGAAAAGATATATATGTTTTTTCCTGTGACAGATTTCCCTTTATATATTCTGGAACATAGTTCAATTGCGTGTACTTCAGCCTGAAAAACTCAGTTTTCTTGACTCATACTCGCAAATATTTTCTCTTTAGGTTTTACTCCATAGACTCCCGCCTCCACTCCTTCCATCGTTTTGGAGCCTTTTCTACACGATTCACAACACAAGTATAACATATTACTTACCTACTTATTGAATCTTTAACTTCTACTGGAGCATAAGGTCTCCACTATCGATCAAAATGTAATTCTGTTTGAAGCTGTTCTTCTTACAGTATTTTAAGTATATCCGTATATAACAATTTACATATATCATAATTGAAGTGTCAACAGTTTGATGTCATGTTTTTGCCTGGGCGTATCTGCTCAATGACTGTCCTGTGGATTCCACCGCAAAATTTGTCCAAATATGTACTTCGCAAGCCCTCAAAGCCTACAACCAATCCATAACTACCTAAGATTTTTGATTACATCTATTGCTTTACGATTGGTTTGTCAGGTACTTAGTCCTAATTGGAAATTCTTTTTAGGCTTTATAGTTTTTATATTCAGCTACTTTAAGAAGGAAGACTTGTAGACTACTTTTTGAGCTCTTCCATATTTCAAACACATGAAATAGTAGACAGATTTAATGTAAGAGTTGCACAGACATCGCTTTGTTCTTCGAGTTACTTGACTACATCACCAAACATTCGAAAATAATGCTGCCGAGATAGACTATAGATTGTACACATTCTATAGTAATATCATTAAAGATAAAACTTATTAAATCCTAGTAAAGTGCTAAATTATTGACACTTTTTAAAACTTCAATCTTTTCTGGACTCATATTTATACCAGTCGTCTTGGTATTTCTGTTTAAAGCTTCAAAATGTTTAAGCTCCAAAATTTTAGCATTGGTGGCTGAGTAAGCGAATATCGTCAACATATTACAGACCATAGGTCATAACATATGCTTCTCATAACAAAAACATGTCATAAATATGTTCTCCTCACGGAATAGAGATGAAAGTATTTCCATCGTAAGACATGCTTATTGTAAAGACACCATCCTCCACTGTTTTGAGGTATAACTAGTAGCTAGAGGGTTTCGCTTGCGAAGATGTGTATCCTGGACAGTACGTTGGCCTCGGACTGGAATGTTATTGCACTGGTAGCTATTGGTAGTTATAGATATTTAATCTAAACTTTCGCAAGAAGAGTTGTATTTTCTCAATCAGATGTGGTGACTCAAACTAAATCCATAAGAAGAAAATATGAATTTAAAAAATAACCATTCATATAAGCATATTGTATTATCTATTATAATATTTAAAAAAGAAACGAAAATCTTTTATAATTAATTAAAACGCATAAATTTTGTATTCTTATAAATAATAATTATATGTATTCGATTAATTTATAAATATTTTAAAAAAAAATTTTAAAATATTGTAAAGTAAAATATTTTATAGTTTCTTATTCAGTTATAGCGCGTTCCTATAAACATTTTATAGTAAATATTGATGAGTAAAAATTCAAATTTATTATGCGTTGCAAGTAACTGGAAAATAGAATTTGTAGTAATCAAATATAATATATTACAATTATCTGCAATTTCTATTTAATCATAATATTTAATTTAAGAAAATTATGACGCAGGATTGAATTTTAAATCAAACGTTTTAATTAGATAGTTTGCAGGAACAATTGTCTTGTTTTAAAGTTAATTGTCTTAAACCAACACCAATCGGTTTTTCTCAAACCTAATAAGTTCGTGTTGGATGCAATTACTTTAAATATAAAATAAAGTTTAGCAGAAGAACAAAAATAATATTTTACGTTACTTATATTGTAATCATTTGAAATTTGATAAGATTTGATTAGGTTTGATAAACTTATTTAATATTATAATTAGTTAATATCAGCTTGTACTTATAAGTAGTGTACTATAGTATACTATACGAATTTTAAAAATCTGTACATGAAATATAGTTCTGTGATTTTAATAAGCTTAATTAATTGTAAGCTTAATTATTATATTCACAAATTTCATTAAAATTTATATTAACCAATATTGATTAAAGATTGGTTTTAATAACCATTCTTTTTTAGTCATCTTTAGGTGACTATAGAATATAGTGGAAATATTGGTTCAAATAAAATCTTTTAAAAAACAAAAAAAAATTTAAGTAGTGTTTTATTTAACTATTGACCAATTAGACGGATTAAAATAAAAATATATTATATAAAAAAAAAAATTTTTTCTTAAAACTCTTTTTATAAACATGTGTATTATTTAACAATTAACCATTAGCCCGTTTCAAAAACAAAATTATTAATCAAAATTTGGTCGTTAAAGCTATAAATTATTAATAAAATTTATTCTAGCATTAATCTGGACTGATCTCGAACCTTATTTTTAATGTTCTAATATGTTAGTATGTTAGGTTGAATAGCTGCACTCTGTAATAGCTGTTAACACTTTCATTTGAAAACATCCATTGCTCTAGAAATGTTTACAAAGTAAAAGAGAAAAACTTTGTGTATAAATAAAATATATTTATATGTACACACTTAATGTCTTGCTCTAAAATCAAACATTCTCAGTTCTATGCTCTTATCAAGAAGTAAACAGAAAAATAAAAATGAAATTAATAATAAGCAGTAAAGTAAAAATGATAATAATAATAAACAGAAAAATAAAAATGAAATCAATAATTTAGTGAATCTTAGCCCTTTGCTCTCTTCAAAAGGTAAGCAGATATATAACAATTATATCAAGTGATTCTCAGCTCTTTGCTCTCAGCCATAGCTTAGTAGAGAAATTGAAATAAAATCTATAAATCAGTGAGCTAATACTTCTAATTTGCACTGATAAGTTAGATTTTAGCTTTAAATAAACAGTAGAACTCTTTAACTCATTATATTTAGAGAAGGTATTCATTTAATGATAATTCATCAGGTATTCTATTCGGGTACTTGCTATTGTAGCAGCACTAATTGTAAGGGAGATTTTCTTACTATACTTTTGTTTACATCGATTTCGTACAAAGAAATTAACAATTTATGCAAGTAAAACATTAAATGCACATTGTGCGGAATAGTGTGAAATCAGCATATAAGATCACCCGGTATAATAAGAATAGAATAACTGCACATGGAATACGCAGTTAATATTAGAAACAGTTGGCAATTAAAATCAAAAGCAAGCAATTTAAATCGAAAAGTCCAAATAATAAGAAAAACCCTCAGCGTTTATGATGAAATCGAAATATTTATATATAATTATAAAATTATTAACCATTTTCCAGGCTCTTAGAGCTACAACGCAGGACGGTTTGTACAAATTAATAATATTTTAAAAACATTTAAAAAAATGCATTCATTCCATTTCAGAGATTTTGGAACTGCAATGCACAGAGAATAGCCAGTGCAGCAGCCTCTACCAGAATTCGGAAATAAAGGCAACGTGCAATAATGGCACTTGTGAGTGTATGTCCAATAACCAAACTGTGCAATGTAAACCAAAGGTTAATACATTTATTGTGTTGTTGTTGTTTAATATATTGACTGAATTATATATTTTCAACGTAGATAGTGAAATTGAATAATATAATTGGCGGTGCTTGTCCCTGCCCCCAGCCGAATGCTGAGTGCTTTTCGACACAAGATATTTGTTATTGTGCTAAAGACTACCTGCCAAGCGTGGACCGACGTCGGTGCTTGCGAGGTAAGTGATATATGGATGAATAAAAAGTGACATAATATTGACATGTGTACCTTATATTAGAAAAGCAAGGCATTGATGAACCATGCGAGGAGGATTTCCAATGTCAATACATGCAAGGCTATGCCGAATGCAACAAGGCAATTGAGTATTGTATGTGTAAATCGGGTTTTATGCCTCTGGCCAGCAAATGTGTTTCAATTATAAGTAAGTATAGAATGAAAGTAGTGGTTTAGTTATTGTTCGAGCTGGGGGTTCAAACATTTTAATATCCGAGGATTCGAGCATTTTGATGTTTGGGGATTCGTGCTTTGTTGTTGTTGTAACCCGCTGTGATCTAAAAGTAGATAAAATGAAAGGATTTTTCAAGATGTAGACATGGGTTAGTATAGGTGATGGTTATTTGAAGGTAGGCGAAAGCGCTTTTTGATGTTCAAGGTTTTGGCCATTTTGAAGTTCACAGCTTTGGCTATTTTGACGTTTAGGTTTCAAGTAATTTGGTTTTCGAATATGTCCGAACTGGAGAACAGTAAGTCTCTTGTTAATGCTTGAACACGCTACGGTGCTCGAACATTTACTATTATATGCTTTTGTATAAAATAAAACGAAAGTAAAATTGGACATAAAGCAGAGTTGCTATACAAATAGGTGTACTATACTCAAGCAACTCCAGCTTTTTCAAGCATTTATAATCTTCAATCCAAATGTTAGAGTTTGAGAATTCACCAAACTACTCAAGGAAAATATTGCTCAAGCAATTTAAAACAATAATTTTAAGTTATCATCATATTTCTACAAAAAATTACGTCATATCTTTACCATTACTTAAAGCAATACATACACTTTTAAAAAAAAAAATTTTTTTTATTTTATATTATTTATATTTTTTTCTGAAAAATCAAGTGTTCTGAATTGCACTTAAAATTGTACATATATGTAATCGACTTTCCTATGAAACTAGCTTATCAAAATTTTTGATAATGAAAGCAAATCTAAAATGAAAGCAAATCTAAATAAAAATAAGGGGTTTCCCATTTTTCAACAATGCCGCGCTAACAAACTATGAATAAAAATAATAAAATAAAAAAAAATTTAAATCATTGCTTACTCTTGCATGGGTTCGTTAATAACTTAAATATACTTGACCCTAGTTGTTGTGTACAGCCTTCTTATGAATATATTCTTAATAAGCACTTAATAAAAATTACACCACTAAAAAAAAAAAATTTCAATTAAAATAAAAAGTGAAAAAAACTATATTCTCTATGGAATATCGTCATTATATATCATATAATCAATATAAAATATTCTTAATATAATATAATAATAATAATAATATTGTTTCTCTCCCATTCCTCTCCACAACCAAGATAACCTGCTTTCTTTTATTCACACCTTAACTTAGTTTCTTTAAACTGTTCCACATACTTTTTTTTGTTATTGCCTTTTTTATACTTTTGTATATTGAAAATTTTCCTCTCGGAAGCTCATGTTGAATGGACATCTATTTTCGATCGACAACTTTTTTATAACCAAATTCTCTTTTATCATTTAAAACAGCCAGATACTCGTCTTGAGTAAACGCAAGATGAAGTTCTAGGAGCTGTCGACTCTATTTCCATGAGCAACTTGTCTACATAAATGACCAGAAGTAACTCAACACTTGACTACCTAGACAACCAAGTGCCACTGAGTCGGTCTCTATTTGTCTACCGAAACGACGAAGTTGCCACTTATCTATGTAGACGTTCATATGACCCGATGGCTAAGTGTCGGTTATACGATACGCAAGAGTCAGCCACTATTTGTGTACCCCAATGACTCAGCGTCAGTTACTAGCAGTCTACTCTGACAACAAGTGTCAATTATTAGCAGTCTACCATGACAAGCAAGCGTCCTCTATGATTTGTGTGCTTCGACGACCAACTGTTCATCTACGTGTGTACCCATCGACCAAAATCAGTTCTCATTTGTCTATCCAAACAAGCAAGTATTAGTCACCACTTGTCTCTCCTACGACCTATTGCCGGTCACTATATGGCTATCCGGCGACCAGGTCAGGTGTCAGTTAACATTTATCTGCCCAGACGTCCAAATGTCAGTTACCACTTGCATAGGGAATAGGGATAAGAGCATTGTGCTAAGTGTTATACTAGCTTATCCTTCGAAGAACTTGAGATCTATAATAACTACCGAACTCACAGTTTTGAATAAATATATTAACATTTGCTAAGTAATTATTATTTTATATTTCTATAGCTCGTCTACTAGTATCAGAAACAATTATAAATGCCTTCTCATTTGTAATAACTGTGTTGCTTTAACTTAGAATTATCTTGAATGCGAGAGTCGTGCCGGCGTATGGGCAGTGTATCATTCGTAGTATCACAACAGCCTATAATTTGTGTTCAAGTGAGCTTTGATCGACAATACTGTCACTCCAATGTAATAACTATACTTAGATCTTCAAAATTATTTTGATATCGAATTCATACTTTAATATCTTAATGTACAGACATTAAGAAAAGAATTTTCTCAATAATTGTTATGCGAAGGTGCTCTTTGTGGTGGACTAGACTTCGTATATCCTATAGACCAGACACCCCAAATGTCATTTAATATATATGTATACACTATTGGCTAAGTTCAGAAATAGAGTGCAAATTTTAGTTGTAGGACTATATTGCAGGATATATGAATAAATGAAAATATAATTTACGATAGATGATAATTTGCGTAAAGGGAAGGAGAAGAATTGTATGGAATTGGGTAGGAATGATAGCATGAGTAGGATATAATTGCAACTAGCCTGGGTTATGATTAAAGCATTTCAATAAGACGAAGCCATAAATAGATAGGTCTTAAACTAATATATCTCATGTTATCGTAGACAAATGACGTGCAAAAAAAAAATACGTAAATACTTCACAGGACAGTGTTCCTTAGAGTGGGTTGAAGAAGTGGTATAGAGTAAGATAAGAATAAGGATGAGGAAATAAGCAGGGATGTTGAATTTTACTTAGGCCCAGGTGGTGAAATCTTGCCACCTAAACCAAGCGGAATCATGAATAGAGCTCAAATTTATATACACGTCTCAGTAGAAAAACATCTGGTAGATGACTGCTGATAGCAGAGCTTCCGTTAGGGCACATATTGAGAATAAATGTATTCATGCGCAACAAGGATCTATTTAGCAAGTGGATATATCTTGAAAAGCTGTGTGGTCATCCAAAAAAAAAATTCATAATTATAATAATAATTAAATATACACACTGTGTTGTGATTCATTACTTTTTTAAAAAATTGTCTATTCAAAAAATAGCTTCTTTCTTCTTTCTTCATCATTATTGATTTTAAAACCAAATTTAAAATTAGAGATTATCAACTTTTTGGCTTCGTTTCACTGGTGGGATAAGGCTTATCCCATTTGAACTAGGTGCAATAAATTTCCTTCACACACTCTCTTCTTTATCCAATCCAACTAATCCTAACTACCATTTCCATTGGGATGAACCGTGCACATTTGGATCATTTACAAACAACCACTCGTCGTGTTCGACGACTAAAAGGTATTCACCACATCCGAAAAGGACTAAACAAACAGATCGAACTTTTGACCCACTCCATTGAAGTGGCCAGGTTTCTCTGTTTGGACCCATGTTGATTTAAATTTAAATCACACCCATCCCCAATCCGCAAATTCTTCCTTATTCGTCCTACCTTCAACCACTACCTTAATACAGCTTAATCCATGCATTCTTCTTGAAAAATCGTTTATTTCCTAAGTAATGCTTCACTGAAATTTAATTTAGAAAATTTATTTATATTATTCTGTTTTTCGAATAATCTGTTTTTCGTTTCGTGAATTTTAGAGGATGAAATAGAGTGTGGAGCTGACAGCGATTGCAATCAATTTGGTGAAGGAGCAGAATGTGCATTGACTGAGAAGAAATGTGTGTGCAGTTGGAAATATGTGAAGCATGATACGAAGGATCTCTGTATACCAACTGTACCATATAATGGTACATGTAAACAGGATGCACAGTGTCAAGGTATAGCAGGAGCCAACAGTATTTGTAAGCATAAAAAATGCGGTTGTGCAGAAAACTATATTCCACATAAAGTAACTAATTCTGTGAATGAGCAGTTGGTGGTTTGCGAACGTATTGTAGGTAAGTTCGGAAGTGAAAGCTAAACTATTTAATACTTCCTGATAAGTACATTCATTTACAGAGCGTGGACAGTATTGTCGTAGTGACATTGATTGCTATCAATATCAGCATTCAGAAATTGACCAAACGCTGTACTGTTACCAAGGCGAGTGCACCTGCAGAGACGGTTATTTTTCCATAAATGACAGTGATTGTATAAAGGGTAGTAGTGCAACGAAAGTGGCAACAGTTTTGACAAATCTCTTATTGGCCATTGGCAGCAGTGCTGTGGTTATATTTCATCTTTACCTTTTCTAGGAAGTGATCGTCATGAAATGTATTATTATTAATATAATATAATAAAATATGATATTAATATCCTTTTGTATGTAAAATATTTGTACATGTTATATGTAAATATTAAGTAGATTATATAGATTTATAGCTCGAATAAATTTATTAAAAACATTCAAGTCGTTTTTTTCTTTTTCAACAAATTAATATAATTTTTCATCTTTCAATTAATATATTTTTTTTTATAAATTATTTTATTTACTTTAAATTTCGTTTTATTTAAGAACATTACAACAATTATTATAGCTACGCAATCTTTCATTCAAATTGTTTCAAAAAAAAATAAAAAGAAAGCGTTTAATACTTTTTTGTGTTTAATTAAAATGAAATTGTTTTTAATTTTATTTGGAATGCTGATTATTTTATTTGTTTTTAGAAAGTTTAAAATTTTGAAACAAACTCAATGGGACATTAAACTTAAAAACTAAAAAACAAAACAAGTGCAAATGAATAAAACACATTTTTGCGTCTGCGACATAAGGAAACAAAGACGAGGGCGGATAGGTAAATACTTGAAGAAATTTACTTTTTAAATTTACAATTTTAACTTTACAATAAACACAAAAAAAAATATACAAAAACATTTATATACTGTCTATATATATATATATATAGTTGGTTGTGCTATTATTACTATTTTTTTGTTTTCAATTCAATTTTGTATTTACAAATTCCTTTAAATTAAACAGAATTATTGCGTTCATGAGCAGCAGATCAGCATTGAACTTGTGGCAACGATTTTAGTAATTAATTTATAATAATACAATACATAATATTTAAAATGTTATACAATAATTGTTTTAAAATAGTTGCTTTATATTTATATAATATTGCATTAAAGAACAACGTTAGAATCTCTATTCGCACAAAACGAATATATGATTCTAGCTTAAAATATACAATGAAAGACCCAGAAAACAATTTAATGGCGTGAGTCCCTAGGATAAAATTCAGCCAAAATGGAAGCTGGTATACGTTTAAGCATTTCCTTGGGGAAGATACGTAACAATTGCCAGCCAATATCCAATGATTCGAAGACAGTACGATTCTCATAATTACCCTAAAAATATTAATAATAAAAATTGAAATATGTTAATGCATATAAAAGTAAATAATTTTAGAAATATTTTAACAAACCTGAGAGATGAAATTCTTTTCAAATTTGCTCAAGAATTCCAAATACAACAAATCATCAGGCGTCAGAGCTTCCTCACCGACGACAGCTTTCATGGCTTGCACATCCTTACCAATAGCATAACAGGCGTACAACTGATTGGAGACATCAGAGTGATCTTTACGTGTCATACCTTCACCAATGGCAGATTTCATCAAACGTGAAAGTGATGGCAACACATTCACTGGAGGATAGATTTGTCTGTTATGCAACTGACGATCGACGTAAATTTGACCCTCAGTAATGTAACCAGTTAAATCGGGAATTGGATGGGTAATATCATCGTTAGGCATAGTAAGAATTGGAATTTGTGTAATAGAACCATTACGGCCTTCAACACGACCAGCACGCTCATAGATAGTAGCCAAATCAGTGTACATGTAACCGGGGAAACCACGACGACCGGGTACTTCTTCACGAGCAGCTGATACTTCACGCAAAGCTTCGGCGTATGAGGACATGTCAGTAAGAATAACCAATACGTGTTTCTCGCATTGATAAGCCAAGAATTCAGCAGCAGTCAGCGCCAAACGTGGAGTGATAATACGTTCAATGGTAGGATCATTAGCCAAGTTCAAGAAAAGACACACATTTTCCATAGAACCATTTTCTTCGAAATCTTGTTTGAAGAAACGTGCAGTTTCCATGTTAACACCCATAGCAGCGAATACAATAGCGAAATTGTCTTCATGGTCATCTAATACACTCTTGCCAGGAACCTAAAAAAATCAAAAAAACAAACTTTGTATTACATTGTTTTAAAAATGACAATTTTTCTTCCAACCTTAACAAGACCAGCTTGACGACAAATTTGAGCAGCAATTTCATTGTGCGGTAAACCAGCAGCAGAGAAAATGGGAATCTTTTGTCCACGAGCAATGGAGTTCATGACATCAATAGCTGAGATACCAGTTTGAATCATTTCCTCTGGGTAGATACGTGACCATGGATTAATGGGTTGACCTTGAATATCTAAGAAGTCTTCAGCCAAAATTGGTGGACCCTTATCAATGGGTTTTCCGGAACCGTTGAAGACACGACCCAACATATCCTCTGACACAGGCGTACGCAAAATATCGCCAGTGAACTCGCAAACTGTGTTCTTGGCGTCAATACCAGAAGTACCCTCGAACACTTGTACGACGGCCTTAGAGCCGCTTACTTCAAGCACTTGACCAGAACGCACAGTGCCATCAGCCAAACGAAGCTGAACGATTTCGGCGAATTTGGGGAATTTGACTTCATCCAAAATGACCAATGGACCATTGACACCTGACACAGTTTTATAACCTTGAATAAAATAATAAGAAAAAAATTATAATTTAAATTATTTAACAATTAAAAAAAAAAGAAATAATACAAAATAAAGCAAAGCCTAAATTTTTTATATTCAAATAGATAAGATTTAAGATAAGTCAGCTGACAATACACGGGATACAATACAATTATACAAGCTCGAGAAAAAAATGTGTGAAGCAAAACAGTGATAAAAATAATTTAATTAAAATTGCATTAATTATATAATTTTACATGAAATTTATAATTGTTAATTAACCACATTTAAAAATGTTTATTCTTATTGGGTGAAGCCTACGAATGGGCGTGCTAAGAAAATTTAGCTCAAAGCATTCATCAAATCAGGTGCTTAATTTGTTGCAGTGTAACTAAATCACATGACCGAAAAACGCAGTAACAGAAGAAGAAAAATACACTAAATTTCTATAATTCAAATTTTTATAATAATCAATTTAAATATATAGCTTTTATTACATTTGAAATCAATTCAAAAACGATATTCTATTAGAAAAATAAGCATTTATTTTGTTATACCAGAAAAATTTAATTTATCGATTTTTCATTCTCTTTTTTCTTCGCATTCGCAGTTTTCTGCTGTCATGGCGGATAAATTTTTTTATTAATTTATTATCGAATTACTAAATTTAAAGGCCTTTGCAATGATTTTAATTGTGTTACTTACTTAAACGTGGTTGGGAGATAAAATCCCTGGATACAGCCAGGACATGCTCCTTTTGTGCTTGACGTGCTGATATGGACATCTTTAATGTATTTTATTTAAATTTGTACCTCCTAGAATTTATTCACAATACACAGCAAACTAAAATTTAAAATAGAAATTGTATTTAATTATTTTTAAAAAAAATATTCATATTTTGTTTTTAAACGTACACCTTAATATTATTTTCTTATTTTACTGAGCCCTTCGTATAGCCAAGTTGGAGTACGAAGAAAAATTCATTCACACTGAAGAAGTACTGAAAAATTCACAGTGACAGCTCACATGACAATCACATGACCAAATATCATTACCAGTTCAACGATTTTCGAAACTTCAAAAAATTTATATAAATTGCATATATTCACAATAGTCGTATGGATACGTTAATCTGTTTTATATGTTATATAAAAAAAAATGAATATTTTGAAATATTTTGTTTAATACATTTAAGAACTTTTCTGTCATGTGAAACCATGAATCAAACAATTTTTAGGGCCTCCATATTAGTTGAACCATTGAGTTTAAGATGTAAATATACAGAAAAAAATTTTGGGAAATTATTTTTTGAATTCAATTTAATTTGGTTATATAATTCATTACCTACTGTGTGGGCCGTGTGCGAATTCGAGTAAATTTATGGTGAATTGAGTATTTCCCTCAATATATAAAAAATGTCGGTATGGTAGTAAATGTTGGTATTTACTAGAATTTCGAATAGCGTAAATTAGATAAAACTTAGGTAAATTATATATTACCATTGTAAGTTTTATAAGATGTTGACAGGAGGTAACTTATATTATAATTAAGTGAATAATTGAAATAAAACAAAATGAAAAGTTTAACAAATCACATTCAGTTATTTAATAAATTACATGCAGTAAAATGTAATAATAAATAACACCATCTGTAAGAATTATTTTTAAATAAACATTTAAGTGGATTTAATGATCATTTATAATTTTCGTGAAAAAATGACATTTTCCACGATCCAAAGAAAAATCAGAATCTTAAGTAATGAAAACGATATTGAATATAAAATCTTCAAAGTATATTCAGTTTCAAATATGAAATGGCAAAGGGATAATTTTGACAACTTGTGTTGCTGTCATTTAATTTCACATTTGTCATGTCACATAAAACATTATTCAAGGTAAAAGTTAAATAAATATTTCAGTAATAAATAATATAGTTATAAATAGTGATTTCATTATTTATTTCTAATATCTATGTTTATATTATGTATGTTACATCTACAATTATTGTTAAATACTTCTAATTATAAAAAAAGAAAAATTAACGTATTGGACAAAATTTCTACTACATTTAAAAAAAACTGTTCACAATAGAAAAATTTATTAAATTGACGGCTTTACATAAGACTGATATATTGTGAATGTTAAGCTGAAAACACAATCAATACGAGATATTATTTAAAACAACTCAACGGACTGATTTTCAAATATTTTCTTGGAGATAAAGAAATTTTTTTATATCTTATTTATACTATCAACTAATGTAAAAAATTGAATTTTTACTTTTAGAATATTTCATTATATTAATAATGCACAGAACAAAAAGAAAATTTTATAAATAATTTTTATGATATATGTACGATAGATTTATATTGAAAACGTAATATGTTTTTATAATACCTTTCAATTGACAAAATTATGTAGTGTGAATATCTATGATAAAAAAAAAACACAATATTGGTAAAACCAATACAAATATATGAGACTGGAATGTAGATGATAAGACTTGACAACCAACGATATTATATTATAATCGCATTATCAGCTAAACCGGAATATAGTAGATGTTGCTAAAAGCGAATTTTGAAAGTTTTAATGCAGGGGCCAAATAAAAATTTATAAAAATGTTCTGCATACATAAAAATTTTTTTGTTCCTTAATGGATTAATTTCTTTTTTATTTATTTATTGTTTCTTATTTTTTTCTTTCTATTTTGTAAGTAATCTTAGTTCGAATTAGAATCATTAATTAATTTTGCAATTGCATTGAAATTTTTATTCCAATTTATTTCACCATATGCTCCCAGTATAGCTTAAGATTCAATTTTGTTATCAAGTTAGATTGTGTTATATCAGCGATTATAAGGATTCACTTAGACCAATTGATTCATTATGTTGTCGTTATTGATATTATTTAATTTTCAACAATGAACAGCAAAGACGATAAAAACAATAGTATTAGAAACCAACTGTTGCTGCTATAATTTCCTATATAGTGTATTTTTTAGTTTTAATATTTAACGTTTATAACATTAGTATTAGTACAAAAATACTAGTTTTTGTTTTCATTTAATTTTAGTTAGATTGCTTGCTGAATGGTACATGTTTGTACAATTGTCCATTTTGGGGCAAAAACAAAATAGACTCGTAGTCTATTTTAATAATTAAATTTTATATGAAATATTTGTATAAAATAATATATATAAAATAAACTTAAAACGAATTATTTATTAACAGTTTAACGTTATTAATTACAAACTTTATTTTATTTTTTATATTTTATTTGTTAGTTATATTTAATATTTAAATATAACTAACATATAATAATTCCAAACATTTTTATGTAAATAACATTTACATTTCTATTTAAATGCATATAAAATTTCCTTTTCACGTACTTATAAATTTTCCCAACTTCTTATTAAATTTAATAGGGAAATTTTCTAAACAAGATCGTCTCTCTGGCAACTCTTGTGAGCAGCAATTGAAGCAATTTTTGCTCAGTGTTGATAAAAATGTTGTGAAGTGTGGTTGGAAGCGGTGGTAGCCTGTAATTTTACTGGTTTCGTTTGTTTTGTATGTGTTTGTAGGATTATTTAGGTTAATTTTCAAACATAGGAAATGAAGTTAGCAAATCCATCAATTTTTAATTCGGGGTGTATATTATTTAAGCTCTTCAAAGCTGTTACTAAGTTGACTCATCTGCTTAAACTGGTATCTTTTTATTTACAAAAGTGATTTCCTTTTCTATGAATTGCATAAATCATGGCATTTTAATTGATAAAGTATATTTGCATTGCGTGTTAATCAAAATAATATCATTCGACGCAAGTACCCGTTTATTTGGCGTTACTTCAAAAAAATAAATGCCTGCTGTTAAACCGTGGCGAAAGTTCTAATTAATAAAAAAAAAATTACTGCTGAAAATAATTAAAAATATTAAAAAAAAACTACTTGCAGTCAAAAACATATAAGCAAAAAAAAAAACATTTACCAATTACATCTGTTGTACAGCAGACAAAGACCTAAAAAAAAACCTTTGCTTCAGCCAGTTGTTGATCAAATGAAATTGCCAAAGTGAGAGGGGAAATGTGCAAATATTTTTCTTTACGTTTGATTTTATTTTGAAGAGAGATCTGCGCTCTCTCCGCATTGCATTTACAGTACCGAAGTGTTAACAGAGGCATGAAACACTAACAAAACACAACACAACACAACATAGTACCAACACTACCAAACACTACCTGTTGAGTGCTGTGCTATTGATATTGTGTGTGAATTGTTATGGATGACATTTGCGGCTTTGTTATTGCTTTTCCATCTTCTTACCAGTCTCCCTTGACTATTATTTTGCAACTGGTAACGTACATCGTACATCGTTCATTGTTCATCGTTCATCATTATACTAGCACACTGAAGTGCTAATTCAGTTATCACAATTTTTTTAATAAATTTTAATTTTTGTTATTAAATTTTATCTAATGTCTGTTGTGTGTTTGCTTTAGAATGTGCCATGAAAAAGAAAACAAATTTTTAATCTTGCAAAATAATAAATTTTTTAGCGATAAAATTATAAAGAGTAACGTTAAAGGCTAGTGACAATTGAAGAAGCAGATAAGAAACGTGTATACTTTTTGAAATAAACGCGTAAAATACTCGAACTAGCAGAAAAAAGTTAATCATAAAAAAATAGAAGTTTTTAATCAAGTGCAATACAAAGAACTTAAAAATAATTTACGAGCCAACACACGACACGGTTGTAAAGAGGAAAACAGTCATAAAAGTGAAATGTTCGATATCAAAACAACTAATCAAACAATTAATCGCTTGTTAGACTGATTAAGCACAAGAACAAGACTTTTTTTGCTTAAGAAAATCTTAATATTTATTTAGGTTTGTCTTTTCAGATTTTGTTGAAATTTTTTATAACAAAACAAAAATAAAAAACAAAGAATAAAAATATATTTTAAGTATCAAAATAAAAACTGTTTAATTTTTCAATTAAAATTTGCTGGCGTTTGTTTAAAGATATATAAATTAAACTCAAAAACCAAAAATAGCAAACAAATATACAGCCTACGTCACTATAAACAAAATCCAACAAAAGACAAAGCAGCCACGTAATACAGTCGCGAGGCAGGCTTTCTCAGTTTAACTCACAGTCACAGCAACAGCGAAAGCTGCAGCATCAACACTGCAAGCAGCAAACGGTAACGTCAGGTACGAGGCGGCGTCATTTAAATAATTTCAATCCTTTGAGCTTGACCAAGCACACACACACACACGTAAAATGTTGAATGTTAGAAAGTCAAGTGACGATAAAGTCGACACTTTGCTGGCTAGAGGATTGGTGCCAATAATCGATCTTGCACACTGCGGTAAGTAGAATAAATTTTGCTAATCATAATTTTTATTATATTTTATTATAATTATTTGTTATTACGACCAATTTTCAATACTTAAATAAATAAATTAATTAATTAAATAAAATGTGCAAATATTTATCATTATTACCGAAATCTGTGTTAAATATTTAATTGTATTTTAAGTTTCATAAAAAAATAATTTATATTATTATATTATTTATTTATTTTTATTTATAACATATTAATAGTGTTTTTCCTACATATACTGTAACACAATAAGTGGATCCACCAGTGATCGCCGGTATAACCCAACTCAACCTTTATATTACAGATATTTTGTTCTATTTCGTAGACCATGGTCCAAAGTGTTGAATTAACGATCTACGCCCAATAATAATAAAAAACTTACCTTATTATAATTTAATTATTTTAATATCTATTTATCCATTATCCGCCCTGGTGTCTTGTGTATTGTAGATAAATACATTGTAAATACATCAAAGAAATAATAATAAAGTAATAATAATAAAGAAATAATAGTAAAGAAATAATAATAATATCCATTTATAATATTCAATATCATATAATTATTTATCATTTTTATATTTGAAACGAAATAATTTATCAATTCTTTTAATAACACACTTCTTAAATTTTTTTTAAAAAAAATTATATTTTATTTACACCAATATTTTGACTATATTCTATAGTCCTCTCCAGAGTACTAATATTTAATAATAACAAAAATAAAAATATTTAATAAAAAAAAAGAAAAATATTTAGCAATATTTACTAATGCAATTAAATGAAATTATGAAAATCAATTATTCCATTGACAGACTAGAGCTATTTAATCAGTCTTTGACTCAAGGCTCTGTTAGTCGGTACGTACCGTATAAACTTAAGCAAACTTAAGCCAAGTCAAGGCTCTGTTAGTCGGTACGTACCGTATAAACTTAAGCAAACTTAAGCCAAAGCAACTTAAGTTCTTACGGTACGTACAGATTAACTGTGTCTTTAAGATTTTTCCTTGACTGAAACAAAGTAAAATTTGAAACCTTATGGGTATGAACAATGTCCTTGCTAAGAGTTTTGCGTTCAAGTAGACCGCTTTTATTTCAAATCTAATGATAATTACTTTACAATGTATTGTTTTTTTCTTTATTAACCTAAATTCCCTCACTAATTTAATAATTGAAAGTATATTAATATTGTACACTAATAATAATTATTAAAGAAAAACAATTATTTATTTATTTATTCGTGTTTAATTATAATTTATGGTTCCCTCTTTCAATGCAATAAATGAGTCGCGTTTATGCCGAGACGGGTTGCCACTGGTATCTGCTATCATTTATTGAATTATTAATAAATATTTATAATTATTAATAAAACTAAATACTCGTATGTATTGTTATTTGTTTGCTAGTTCTAATGTTTGAATGCATATTAAAATATTTTATAATACTAACCATAAGCAGATTCTAGTAGTCGGAAACATACCATATGTTCTTCTCAGAATATCTAAACTTGGAAAAGTAGCAGTCAATTTAGTTTACAACTAGTTATGCAGGTCTATTGCTCAATATAGATTATTAATTAATGTGAATTAATGTAAAATTATTATTACATAAAAAAATTCAAATGTCAAAGCTCTTAAACGCTTTATATATATATTTATATATTGCATACTTAACGCTATTTGTAGAGTGTACTTACAAAAAAGTCAGATTCCTTTCTAAACACTTGTCACAACTCACTATTCCGATGTTTTATCGCACAAAAAATTTGATTTCCTACTAAATACACTTCATCATTCCCAATTCCGTTGTTAAATCGCTAATATAGATACAGCAATTCGCTTCATACCGAGTTCGAACATAAAGTCCGATTCGTGACTTAATACCCATAACCGTTCACAATTTCGTTGTTTTATCGCTGTTGTTGCAATTCCCTACGTAGAGTATACTCACAAAAAATCAAATACCTTACTAAATACCTATCACTACTCCCAATCCCGTGGTTTTATGGTTGACATAGCAACCCCCTTTGTAGTAGAGTCTACTTTCAAAAAAATCCGATTCCTTACTAAATACCCAGCACTACTTACAATTGACATAATTAGCTTAGATAAACTTGCAAATCCAAATACTGAGCTCTTTGACTTATTATCCGTGATTACTGAAATGCAATTACAGCCAGAAGTCTTTGAAAAAAGAAATAAAATAAAAAAAAAGATTAGCGTTTTTCATTACCATACTTAATTAATGAAGCTATAAAGACTTCTGATTATGATGAATATGAAAGTTTTTCTTTTAGATTAGACATCACATTTGTCAGTAATTAAAAACTTTAATTAATTTTATTTTTTTTTATAATTTCTAATTATTTGTGACTAATAAACTGATAAGTTAATGTATCTATTACTATATAATTACAAATCGTGGACATGTAACCTGATGTACGAGTATATAAGGGATCTCAGTGATTTCTGTAGTCATTTATGAGCAATCAGTGAGTTTGTTATATTAATAAACAAAAACTGTTTTTATTTAGAACAATTTAAATTATCTGTGAGTAATAGTTTTATCGCTTCTTAATATTTTAATAACAGTTTGAGTTTTTTTATTTCATTTTAATGCAGCTAAAAAACCCACAAAGCTACACTGTAATTACTTAAAGCTTCCATGAATTATTTTCACTTACACTAAAACCCGCTAAATTTCCAACTTTAAATCCCTAAAGTATTATTTACAGTTCCCTCGAAATTGTAACATAAAAATGTACATACATACATAATATATATGTATACTTTAATCTTTTTATACTGAATTTGAAATATAAAAAATTATGAATGAAAGGAAGTTTATGTTGTTCATGAAAGGAAAAAAAACGTCTTCCAAATTATTTTTTATAAAATGACAAATTTTATTTAAATTGAAAAATTATGGCTCAGTCATAAGTAGCCTAATTGAATTGTTGAAAACATTTCAATTGAATTTTCAGAATGAATTAATTATGCCACAAAATACAACATGACTGACAATACATAGACATATATATATATTTATATATATATAGATAAAGAGACACGTAGTGAGAGCCAAGGTTTGTAATCGCATTTTGCGCGCTTTTCGTTACTAAGGCGGACGCGGTTCTACGAGGTTCCTCAATAAGCAATCGACCTCATGTCTGCTAAATCAACGATATTTTTTTTTGTCTTTTGCAAATTTTAATTTAAATATGCTGAATTAGTTTTTTTTTTTAGAAAAAATTTTTGCAAAATTTTAAAAATAAATTTCATTTTATTTATTTTAATATGCTCTACTCTATATATGGTATGTACTCGTATATTTTTTTCGCATACTAATCTGTTTCACGTGTCTTCCCGATTGAACTTTCTTATCAATTTCACCATTTACGGATAGAAATTATTTTAAACAAAAAGCATTTTTACTTACACTAAGTTGAGATAGTTTGCTTACTTGTACTTCTACATCCCCAACCCCACCAACCCTTCGCTTCCTCCTTCTTCCTTTATTGAACACGTACATTTGCTTTCAGTCGTGTAATTCCATTTTTGCTGGGAAATACAATATTTCACGTTTAGTGCACGAGCAGAGACATTTTCCAAAATTGATTACTTTGCACACTTTTTGACGCAACTCAAGTGAAGTTTTTGTTTTCTAGAATTTTATACTTGCTTTGTAGATTTACCGTTTTCCATTAATTTTTTATAGTTTACACTTAAAAATTTTGCTTTGAGTAGAAAATAAAAATTCTTTTTGAAGTTGCAAGACTTTGGAGTCGAATTTCTACGATTTTGTCAAGAATCTTTGCTTTGCATCATCGTTTGCAGATTGCATTCAATTTTTAAGAAATACATTTCATTGACGTAATTCCGGTTTTTCGGGTACAAAGATTTGTAGCAGATTTCAATTGTGTCAGCTATTTTCAGAAACTTTTACCAACAAGCGAAACTATATTCCGATACATAGGTAAAGTTTAGTTCTCAATATACCGCGGTTTAAAATTATAAAGTTTTTATATTGATTAAACTAACTAAAATATATGTCGATATAGCTTACGTCTTGAGATATCGTTAGTTGCAGTTTATAAAGTTTTTACTTTGATTACGCAGATTATATCCCAATAAACCTTAATTCGCAAGATATCGAGGTTTAAAGTTATAAAGATTTTATATTGATTACACTAACAAAAATATAAGCCGATAAAACTTATAAAGTTTTTATATTGATTAAACTAAATAAAATATATGTCGATATAACTTACCTCTTGAGATATCGTTAGTTGCAATTTATTAAGTTCTTACTTTGATTACACAGATTATATCCCAATAAAACTTAATTCGCAAGATATCGAGGTTTAAAGTTATAAAGATTTTATATTGATTACACTAACAAAAATATGTGTCCACATAACTTACTAACTAAGATATCAAGGTTTAATTTTTTAAAATTTTTGCATTGATTACACTAGCAATCGAGGGATATCGAGGTTTCAAATTATAAAGATTTTATCGATTACATTAATAAAAAATATATCCCGATAGAACCTACTTCTGAATATAATGAGGTTTTGAATTCTAAAGTATTTAGATTGATTACAAAAACAAAAAAATACCCACAGCGCTTAATATACGCCATTTTTGTATTGATTTCACAAACGCTGAATATATAAATGTTGAAAGAATAAAAAAATATATTAAAGATAGAGATGCCTTCAGTTCTTCAAAGCTGGGAATACTCAACAGAATGCAGTGATAACTCATTAAAGACTACCAACTCTTTTGTTGCTTTTATCTCTTTTGTTCCAACTCTGGGCTTTAATATCATAATATCTATGATAAAAAAAAGTTATTTACTCAATTGTTTTTTATTCAATTTGAAATTAATTAGAATATAATGAAAATTACACTTATACTTTCTTCTGAATTATTAAAGTAATCATCTCTATGAAAGTATAAGTGGACTTGGATAAAAACACAAGAC